CGGGGGGGGGGTTGTATGTGGGTGGGACACGGGTGGGATGGACACGGGTGGGACGGGCGCAGAGGGGATGGATGCGGCGGGGCGGGCGCGGGGCGGGCTGGACACGCGGGGTGGACACGGGGGGGCCGCGGTGTCCCCGGCCCGATGCTGCCCGCGGCCATATTTAGGCATCGCCGCTGCTCCGTGCGGTGCCAAAAGGCGCAGCCCCTGCAGGCCGGGGGGGCCCCGCCCGCCTCACGGTGAGAGATGGGGCGGAGGGGGGGGAGGTGGGTGGGGGTGGGGGATCAGCCGGGATTAGGGCGTCAGTGGGGAGGGGGGGGCGATAATCCCACCCCCCCTACATACACAGACAGACACCGCCCACTCGGAGCGCAGCGGTGGGGGGGGCTGCGGGGACCCCTCCCGGAAAACAAAGCAGGCAGCGGAGCGTCCCCGGGTCGGGGGGCGGCGCGGTGCGGGAAGGGCTGCGGGTATCCGACCCCCCCAGTGCCTCAGTTTCCCCCCCCCCCCACCCCCCGCAGGCAGCTGCTTCCTGTGCCTCGTGGATGTGGTGCCGGTGAAGAACGAGGATGGAGCCGTCATTATGTTCATCCTCAACTTCGAGGCGGTGATGGAGAGCGAACGGCCGCGCTCCCCCCCCGCGGACACCAACCATTGGGTCACCCCCGGCGCCTGGATCCCGGCAGGTGCGGCCCCACCGCGCTGCCTGAGGGGGTCACCGCCCCACATGGTGCTGTGATCTTTAGGGGTCACCGTTCCCTATGGCACAGTGACCTGGGGAAGGGATCCCTGCCCACATTCCTGCCGTGCCATTTAGGGGTCACTGCCCCTCGTGGTGCTGTGGCCTGGGGGGGGTCCTCTGCTCCCTGTGGCACAGTGACCTGCAGGGATCGCCATTGCCCTGGCACGGTGACCTGAGGGGGGTCCCTGCCCCCATTCATGCTGTGCCATTTAGGGGTTGCTGCCCTTCGTGGCACTATGACCTTTAGGATCACTGCTCCCATGGCACTGGGACTTGGGGGGTCACAGCCCCATGGTGCTCTGATATTTAGAGCTCACTGCCCCCCATAGTGCTGTGAGCTGGAGGTGTCCCTGCTCCCTATGGCACAGTGACCTGGGGGTGGGGGTCAGCACCCCACATGGTGCTGTGATCTTTAGGGGTCACCATTCCCTATGGCACAGGGACTGGGGGGGGGGGGAGGATCACAGCCCCCCTGGTGCAATGAGATGGAGAGGGTCTCTGCCCCTATCTGTGCTGTGACCTTTAGGGGTCACCATTCGCTATGGCACGATGACAGGATGGGTCACAGCCCACATGGAGCTCTGATATTTAGGGGTCACTCATGGTGCTGTGATCCTGGGAGGGGGTTCTCTGTTCCCCATGACAAAGTGACCTGGGGGGGGTCCCTGGTCCCCATGGTGCTGTGCCCTTCAGGGATCACCGCTCCCCATGGCCTTGGGACTGGGGGGGGTCACAGCCCCCATAGAGCTCTGATATTTAGGGCTCACTGCCCCTCGTGGTGCTTTGAATTGGGGGGGGTTCCTGCCCTTTTCTCTGCTGTGCCATTTAGGGGTCACTGCCCCCCATGATGCTTTGACCTTTATTTGTCACCGCTCCCTATGGAAAAAATGGCTGTGGGGGTCACAGCCCCCATGGAGCTCTGATATTTAGGGCTCTTTGCCCCTCATGGTGCTGTGACCTTTGGGAGTCACCATTCCCCACAGCACTGGGACTGGTGCTCTGATATTAAGGGGTCACTGATGGCACTGTGACCTGGGAGGGGATCCCTGCCCCCCATCGTGTTTAGGGCTCACTGCCTTTCATGGCACAGTGTCCTGGGGGGGGGTCCCTGCCCCTATCTGTGCTGCGACCTTTAGGGGTCACCGTTCCCCACGGCACAATGACTGGGGGGTCACAGCCCCCATGGAGCTCTGATCTTTAGGGATCACTCATGGCGCTGTGACCTGGGGGGGTTCTGTGCTCCCCCCAGCACAGTGACCTTCAGGGATCACCGTTCCCCACGGCACAGTGACCTGGGGAGGCCGGGAGGGGTCCCCGCTCCCCATTACTCTGCCATACAGGGGGGTCCACTCCCCCACGGCACAGTGACCCCCCCCCGCTCCCCCCGCAGGCCGCAGCCGCTCCTTCCGCCTGAAGCTGCCGGCCCTGCTGGCTCTATCGGGCAGCAAGCAGTCGCTGCCTCCGGAGCCGCCCGACGCCGTCATCGTGGACGTCTCCGAGCGCGGCGCCGAGCCGAGCAGCTCCTCTCTGGACAACGGCTGCCTGGGCTGCGCGCGGCCCGAGGACCAACGGGCTCTGATGGAGCCGGAGGACGGCGACGCCCCCCCCGAGCCCCCCGTCACCCACTCCTCTCCCCTCGCCGAGCGCCTTCGCCCCGCGCCCTTCTCCGACGGCAGCCTGGCGCGCAGCCGCTCGAGGGAGAGCTGCCACAGCGTGCGCCGCGCCTCCTCCGTGGATGACATCGAGGCCATGAGGGGAGATGGGGAGAAGCGCTGCCACAGCCGGCACGCCAGCGCCGGGACCGGGATGCACCGCGGAGCCAGCACCGGTATGGGGAGGGGCGGCGGCGCGGAACGGGGGCTGCGCCGTGCGGGTGCCCCGTGGTGATGGGTGCCACAGCCGGCTCTGTGCTGGGGCATTTAGGGCTCACTGCCTTTCATGGCACAGTGTCCTGGGGGGGTGGGGGGGGGTCTCTGCCCCTGTCTGTGCTGTGACCTTTAGGGGTCACCACTCCCCATGGCACAATGACTGGGGGGTCACAGCCCCATGGAGCTCTGATCTTTAGGGGTCACTCATGGTGCTGTGACCCGGGCTCACAGCTGGGTGTCCCACGGCACCACAGCCCGCATCTGGGTGCCCTGCATCTGGATGAGCCACGGCACCCCGGCCCAAAACCTGCTGCCCCACATCTGGATGCATCGCGTCTGGATGAGCCACGTCAGCCCGGCCCACATCTGGATGTCCCCTGTCACCGCACACCTCGATGCCCACATCTGGACGTCTCACCTCACCCTGGCCCACACCTTGACACCCCACATCTGGCCAAACATATCTGCATGTCTCTGGGCTGCCTCACACCTGGATCTCCCATGTCACCACCCCACCTTGACACCCCACATCCGGCCTTACACAGCTGCATGCCCCACATCTCCCTGTCCCACATCTCCCTGCCCCACACCTGGATGTCCCGTGTCACCCTACCCCACACCTTGACACCCCACATCTGGCCATGCACACCTGCATGCCTCACACCTCCCTGCCCCACAGCCGGATGCCCACAGGTGGATGCTCCACGCCTCCCTGCCCCACACCTGGATGCCCCTCATCACCCTGCCCCACTCCTGGACGCCCCACATCTGGCTGTACACATCCGCATGTCCCACATCTCCTGGCTGCCCCGCACCTCCAGGAGGACATCTTGCTGAGCTCGTTAGGCCCGGCAGCTCGTTAGGCCATGGGCAGTTCTGCAGCTGTCGGTGCTTTGTTAGCAGAGCAGCGTTGCCCATCACTGCTGTGTTGGACATCGCTGTAATGCACTGCGTTGCCCACGGCATTGGTTTGGGCCCCGCTGTGAATCCCAGCATCGGGGATGAATGGTGCCCACATCATGCCCCAGTGTGACCCCCAGCCCCACCATCCTCCCAGTGACAAAGGGAGGGGATGGTTGCCGCCTCATTAAGCCGCTAAGCTCATTAGGAGAGGGAAATAATTGCATTAGCTGTAAATGATACGGTGCTGCGGCGGGCAAGGGCTGACTGTGCCCCCTCTTCTCCCCTCCCAACCCAGGGGCCATGAACAACATCCGCAGCACTCTGCTCAACTCCACGTCCGACTCCGACCTGGTGAGGTACCGAGCCATCAGCAGGATCCCGCAGATCACCCTCAACTTTGTGGACTTCAAAGCTGATGCCTTCCTGGGGGCTCCATCTGGAGAGAAGGAGATCATTGCCCCCACCAAACTGAAGGACCGCACGCACAACGTCACTGAGAAGGTCACCCAGGTGAGCGGGGGCACCGTGGGGACGGGGAGATGGAGGATATGGGGTGATGGTGGAGCTGATGGTGACGCTGGAGCTTGTGGTGATGGTGCATCTTATGTGCTGACACTGGAGGCTGAGGGGTGGTGATGGAGCTGGTGGGGTGATGCTGGAGCTGATGGGGTTGCAATGGAGGTCACGGGCTGACTGTGGAGCTGATTGTGATGCTGGAGCTGGTGGGGGATGTTGAAGCTCATGTGTGATGGCAGAGGCCGTGGGGTGGCAGTGGAGTGGGTGGGGATGATGGTGGAGCTCACATGGTGATGGTGGATCTTATGTGCTGACATTGGAGGCTGTGGGGTGGTGGTGAAAGTGGTGGGACGATGCTGGAGGTCATGGAGTGGCGGTGGAGCTGATGGGGCAGCAGTGGAGGTCACGGGCTGACAGTGGAACTGGTGGTGATGCTGGAGCTTGGGGGGGATGTTGGAGCTCATGTGGTGATGACGGAGGCCGTGGGGTGATACTGGAGGTCATGGGGTGACTTTGGAGGTCATGAGGTGATGCTGGAGGTCATGGGGTGATGCTGGAGCTGATGGGGTAGTGGTGGAGGCCGTGGGATGGCGGTGGAAGTTGTGGGGTGATTCTGGAGCTTGTGGTGATGATGGACCTTATGTGCTGACGCTGGAAGCCGTGGGATGGTGGTGGAGCTGGTGGGGCCATGCTGGAGGTCATGGGCTGATGGTGAAGCTGATGGTGATGCTGGAGCTGGTGGGAATGCTGGAGCTCACGTGGTTGTAGTGGAGGCCATGGGGCGATACTGGAGCTCTCATGGTGACGGTGGACCTTCAGTGCTGACACTGGAGGCTGTGGGGTGGCAGTGGAGGTGGGGAGATGCTGGAAGTGGATCTGCTGGTGACACCGGGGCTGATGGGGTGACCTACTGCCCCCCCATGTGTCCCACGTCCCCAGCCCATGCCTCTGAGGTGTCCCCTCATGCTGTCCACGTGATGCTGTCCTGCGCCTTGCTGCGTGATGCTGTGCTGTGTCACACCATCCGTGCCACACCACACTGTGCCATTTGCTCTGTGCTGTGCTATACTGTGCCATGCTGTGCCATGCCACACTGTGCCATGCTGCAGTGCACCATGCCATGCCATCCTGTGCCATGCAATGCTGTGCAGTGCCATGCTGTGCCATCCTGTGCCATGCAATGCTGTGCCTTGCCATGCCGTGCCATGCAATACTGTGCCATACCATGCCGTGCCACCCTGTGCCATGCAGTGCTGTGCCATGCCGTTACTTACAATGCTGTGCCATTCCATCCAGTGCTGTGCCGTGCTGTGCCATGCCATTCCATGCCCTGCCATCCCGTGCCGCGCCGCCCGCTGCCGGCTGTGCCGGTTGTGCCGCACTCCTCGCCCGCAGCGCCGCTGATCCTTCGCACGTTGTGTAACCGCCATCTGGCTGCGGGGCGAAGGCGGCTGCTGCTGCTTAATTACGCCCTGATCCCGCTCCCGTTAATGAAGTTAGAGCCGCCGGGGCCGCGAGCCCGAGGGACCTCTGTGCCCGCCCCGCTGCGGGGTGAGGGGGGAGGGACGCGGCGTGGGCGCAGCTGTGCGCTTGGGGTCCCCGAGCGGCGCGGCTCCCCCGGCCCCCCCGGCCTCGCTCCTGCCGGCCCACGTGCGGGGCGATGGGGACCGACCCCCCCGGGAGCCCCCGGCCCTGCTGTCGGCTCTGCCCCCCCCCCCCCCGCCGATTGCGCGCCCGTTGCGCGGTGAGGGAGCAGAGCCCTCTCGGGGAGGGTCTGCGGTGCGTTAACGAGCGGCGCCTCCTGATTACCCCCTCCGTGTAATTAACGACGAGGCCGCGGATGTTGCTTCCCCCCGCCCCCCCGCCCCGCGTTAATCCCGTCCTGCCGACAGCTGCGGCGCCGGATGGACAGATGGACGGCCGAACGGCCGCAGTCCCCTCGCTGCCCGGCATCACCCCGCGGCCGTGGGGCGGGGGGTCGGGGGGGGTCAGCCGGGCTGCTCTCCGGGGGCGGGGATGGGGCACGGAAAGCGCTGCTGCCGGGAGCCGTGGGTGGGCCGGGATGGAGGAGACCGAGGGGTGTACTGGGGGTACTGGGGGTACTGGGGGAGCCGGGGGTGCCTGCATGCGGGGTGCAGACTCGTCGGATTCCTCATGATGGAGCGGTGGTGGTGGAGACGTTTGGGCATCGCTGCCATCCGGCCGAGCCGAGCGCGTCCCCGGTCCGGTGTGGCACCGGGGGGGGGCCGGGACTCCCGGGCGGTGGCACCGTGAATCAGCCGCAGTGACGGCATCCGCTGAAACCCGTCAAGGTCACCGCGCTCCGGGCCGCCCCACAGCGCGGGGTTGGGGCGCGGGGGCTGCGGCGCTGCGTGGCGGCGGTGCGTGGCAGCTCGGGGACCCCCGGGCCGGACCCTCCCCGCCCGTGGGCTGCGGGACGGGCGCTGCCGGCACCGCGTGGTCTCCTGCGGGATGGGGTCGGTGTGGGGCACGGTGCGCCCTGGGGGATACGCGGCCGTGCCCGGAGCCTGCGGTGCGTTTGTGTGGGGCTGGCGGTGATGTGAGGACAGCTCTGGGCAGCGACGCTGGCAATGCGGAGCTGAGTGTCGCCGTCGGGGCTGGGCAGCAGCCAGGGGCAGCGGTGCCGGGAAGCGCCTGCGGCGGTGGGGAGCTGCGGGCAGCCGTTCCCGTCCCCTCCCCGTCCCCTTCTTCGGTCCCATCCCATCCCATCCCCGTCTCCAGCCCATCCTCATCCCTTTACCCTTCCCTATTTCTAACCCCATCCCCTTTCTTGCTTCCTTCCCTGTGCCCATCCCTATCCTTATCCCTTTCAAATTCCTTATTCTCATCCCCATCCCCTCCCTCATTCTTTTCCCCATTCCTATCCCCACTCCCGTTCCTTTCCCCACACAACCCCTTTCCCGTCCCCATCCTCATCCTTTTCCTGTCCTTGCGCCCACCCCGTTCCCATCCTATCCCCCCCTCCTTCCCCGTGTCCACCCCCCCCCTCGGCTCCCATCCGCCTCACTCGCACCCCCCCCCTACCTCGCGTTTCCTTACGCCGATTCGTACCGCGGGACCCCCCCACGCCCCCTCCCCGTGCCTCAGTTTCCCGCTGCCGTTCTCTCCCTCCTGAACTGCGGCCGCCGCGGGGCGGGGCGGCGCGTGGGAGGGGGTGGGATGGGATGGAGCCCCGGAGGAGGGCGGGGGCCGAGGGGGGCGGGGGGGGCCGTGCCGCCCCGCTCCATCTGCCGCGCTCCGCACAGCTCCGCACAGCGCGGGGCAGCGCCGGACGGACAGCGAGGGGTGCGGGGCCCCGGGGGGGCGGCCTCCGATTCCCCCCATTGAAAGCGGCCATGGCCCCGGGGGGGCGCGACGGCGGCGACCGCCCCGACGGGGACCGAAAGAGCGGCCGCGTTCGGCGCGCGGTGCGCATTTCCAGCCTGGTGGCACAGGAGGTGGGTGCGGGGCGGGGGGCGCGGGGCCGGGGGCGGGGGGTCTCCTTCCGAAATCCAGCGATTCCCCCGGGGCTACCCGAGCCCCAACGTGGGGGGGTCCGGGGTGCGCCCCGAGATAGCAGCGGGGTCCTGGGGCTGATCCTTGAGTGTGAGGAGAGAGGGGGGCGGAGGCTGAGGGGAGCTCCTGAGCATCCCCGTGTCTGCGCGTCCCAATGCATCCCGATAGCGGAGCATCCCGGTGCCCGAACATCCCGGATTTGAGATGCTCAGAATGCTCGGGATCTCCCGCCTCCCAGCCCGGCCCCAAAGAACCGTGACCGACGGGAGCGGAACCCCACGTCGTGCCGGGGCTGCGAGGGGACAGAGGGGACGTCACGGCCCCACGGTGACCCCTCACCCCCCAGTGCCACCGCTGAGCCCGCAGCGACGAAACAGCGTGGGTGCCCTCGGCGCTCACCGCCCGCTCCCCACCGATGTGGCACGTGCCAGGGGCCGCCCCACGGCTGCGTCACCGGGTGGGGGTTCGGCTGCAGGAGGGGGGGGACGCACCGCCCCACGGGGACGTCACCCCGTCACGGGGCTGCTGCCATCCCGCCCCGCTGCCGCAGTGCTGAGGGCAGCACCCCACCGTGCCCCCGTCCCAGTCGCCCATGGCGGGCACGGCTGTGCCGGGCGCTGCGCCGCAGCTCAACGCGGTGAGTCCGGCACGGTGTGCTGCCATCACCACGGCCACGGCTGGGAGACGGGTGTGCTGGGTGGTGCCAGCAACCAGGGAGAGGGTTGGGTGTTGGTGCCAATGTTGGGTGTTGTGTTGATGTTGTTGGGTGTCGTGTTGGCTCTTGGTGTTGGTGCCAGCGTTGGGCGTTGTGCCGGCGTTGGGTGTCTGTGCCAGTATTGGGTGTAGTGCTGATGTTGGGTGTCTGTGCTGATGTTGGGTGTCTGTGCTGATGTTGGGTGCTGTGCTGATGTTGGGTGTTGTCTTGACATTGGGTGTTGTGCTGGAGTTGTGTGTCTGTGCTGGTGTTGGGTGCTGTGCTGGTGTTGGATGTCTATGCTGATGCTGGGTGCTGTGCTGATGCTGGGTGCAGTGCTGGTGTTGGGTGCTGTGCTGATGCTGGGTGCAGTGCTAATGCTGAGTGTTGCTTTGACATTGGGTGCTGTGCTGGGATTGTGTGTAACTGCTGAAGTTGGGTGCTGTGCTGGGATTGTGTGTAACTGCTGAAGTTGGGTGCTGTGCTGGCATTGGATGTCTGTGCCGGCGTTGGGTATGGCACTGATAAGGAGTGTCTCTACCATTGTTGGGGGTTGTTCTGCCATTGGGTGTTGTACTGTTGTTGGGTGTTGGGTGCCACTGTCCCCACAGTGCCGGCTGTCCTGATGTCAGGTGTTGCTGACAGTGCAGAGCATCCCACAGTGCCCGGTGTCTGCGTGCCGTGGCCATGAGAGGACATTTGGGAACCGGTGTGTGAGTGCCTTGGCTGTGAGAGGGCATTTGGGGACCACAGACACTGCTGGTCCATGAGGGCATTCGGGTGCCACTGCTGTTGGGGATCTGTGTGTGATTGGGTCCCGTGGGGGTCCGTGGGGCAGCACGGAGCTGTGCTGGAGGTGCTGGGTGCCGTGGGCAGCTCATTGCTGGCCCTGCAGGAGCTGCATGGCCGGGCAGGAGGTGCGTGCCGGGCTTGCTGTGTTGGGTGTCAGTGCCGGTGGTCGGCCGGGGATGCCTCTACCGACACCGCGTGTCCGTGGGCTCAGTGCGGGCTCCCCACGTCCGGCCCTAGAGCTCAGGGTCGCCGCGCGTCCGCCCTCTCCCACTGTTTGGCGCTGCGCGTTGTGTCCCCGCAAGCGACGGTGTCAACGCGGCTGCGCTCAGGGCGTGCGGCGTCCCTACGGCCACCGGCACCGGCGCGTTTGTCCCCCCCCCGGGTGGCGACGCTGCGGTATTTGTGGCGGTGCGGAGGCGGCGCGGTGGTGCGCGGGGTGACAGCTGCCGGTGGCACCGCAGGTGTCGGGTGCGCGTCACCGCGAGCGCGAGGTGCCGCGTGCCGGGCGGTGTTGGTGTCACCGCGTGTCGGCACCGCCGTAACTGTGTCACCGTGACTGATGGGTGTCGGTGGCACGGCGGTCCCGAGGGTGCGCGCTCCGGCTGTGCGCTGATGTCACCAGCGTGCGGCTGTGCTCTGAGGGGCGGGGGGTTTGGATGTCCGCCACCCCCCCGACCCCGACGCTCCGGGGCAGCGCCGTCACCCCGCGCCCTGGGGACACCGCGGGGACGCGCAGCTCCCGGCCCCTCCCCGCTACCCCCCCGGCACACGCCATGTGCGCTCTGTCACGCGGCTCCCGAGGACGCGCGGGTGGCGGTGGGGAAATCCCCGCGTGGGCGGCGGCGGTGACACGGGGCCGCGGGGCAGAGAGAGCCGTCCCCGTGTCCCCAGTGATGTCACCGCCGTGACATTCCCGACGCTGTCGCCGGGATGTCCCCAGTGATGTCACCGCTGTGTCCCCGCTGCTGTCACCGCGATGTCCCCAGTGTCGCCATCGCGATATCCCCGACGCTGTCACCGCGACGCCCCCTCTCCCCGAGGTCCCCCCGCAGCCCCGGGGACAACACAGTGCGGGGCGGTGGCAGTGGATTTGGGGGGGGGGGAGAGGGGCACACCGTGACCGCGTACGGGGGGGGTCCCAGCGGTGCCCCCGCTTTGCACAGCGCCGGGAGCGCTCCGGGACCGCGGGGGGTGGCGGCGGGCGGGGAGCGGAGGGAGCCTTCCCCAACCCCCCGCCGCGCAGGGGTTAACGGGGGGGGGCGGGCGCTGGGGGCGGTGGGGGGGCCGCGCAGCGGGGCAGGCTGGGAAACATTTCCGCCCCAATAATTCCCGCTCGGCGTGGGGGGGGTAGACACCGGGCCGGGGGTGTCGGGGGGCGATGGGTACGGGGTTGGAGGTGCGGGGGGGGGCGCGGGGTCCCCGCAGCGCCCCGGGGTGAGGATGCTGGCTGCGCTGCTGCAGCTGCTGCGGGACCTCGCGGGGCCCCCCCCGCCCCGCGCGGGCCCCCCCATGCCCGGCGCCCGCCTGAACGCTGCGGGAGGGCAGCGCCGAGAGCGGCAGGTACGGGGGGGGTTAATCGGGGGGGGGACGTTGGGTCCGGCGGGGGGTTGGGGGGGACGTTGGGTACCAGCGAAGGGATGGAGGAGGGGGCCGCGCACCGCGCTCCGGGGTCCGGGGTTACGTAAAGACGCCCTCCCCCTCGCTTCCAGCCTGCCTCCCCCCGCGGTGCCGCCGGTCCCGTACGGGGACGGACGGGCGCAGCTGCCGGGCACTGTGCCGGGACACGGGGACGCGCACTGCAGAGGGGGTGCGGGGGGGCTCCCCGCGTCGCACCCACCCCCTCTGACCCCCTGGCCTGTAACCCCACCGCAGGGCTGTGCGGGCCTGGGGGGATGCGGGGGGTGCAGGAGGTCGGGGGTCAGGGAGGTGTTGGCACAGCTCAGGGTTTGCCCCGCCCCCCACCGCACGCAGATGCCCCGGGGGATGCGATTGTGTGCATCCCCCGCCTCATTTCCATGGAGCCCGACCGGCAGCACCGGGCGTGGTGCTGGGGAAGGGGGAGTAGGGGGGGCTTTCAGCAGGCAGGGACGTACCAAGGTGAGGGCTCCCCTCCATCCCCCTGTACCCCAATGCACTCCATTGCGCCCAATGCATCTTTCCGCATTCAGCTGCACCTCACTGCTCTCCAGTGAGCTTCCCTGCACACCAGCCATGCAATTGCACTCCACTGCACCTCTCTGCGCCCCACTGCATACTATTGCTCTCATCAGGCATCCCGTTGCATCCCATTACATCCCGTTATATCCCATTGCATCCCATTACATACAGGTGCATCCCTCTGCATCCAGCTGCATCCCACTGCATCCAGCTGCATCCCATTGCATCCCGTTGCATCCTGTTACATCCCATTAATCCTGTTACATCCCGTTGCATCCTGTTACATCCAGGTGCATCCCATTACATTCTGCTGCATCCCACTGCGTCCCATTGCATCCCACTGCATCCCACCACACTGGGGAGGGGGGCCCAACCAGGACAGCCTGTGGGTTGGGGTTCTGCCTCACGGGACGGGTGCTGAGCTGCTGCCACCCGGCCAGGTGCTGTCCCTGGGTGCCGATGTCCTCCCCGAGTACAAGCTGCAGGCGCCGCGCATCCACAAATGGACCATCCTGCACTACAGCCCCTTCAAGGCGGTGTGGGACTGGCTCATCCTGCTGCTGGTCATCTACACCGCCATCTTCACACCCTACTCGGCCGCCTTCCTGCTCAACGACCAGGAGGAGGCCCAGCGGCACAACTGTGGCTACTCCTGCAGCCCCCTCAACGTGGTGGACCTCATCGTGGACATCATGTTCATCATCGACATCCTCATCAACTTCCGCACCACCTATGTCAACTCCAACGAGGAGGTGGTGAGCCACCCCGCCAAGATCGCCATCCACTACTTCAAGGGCTGGTTCCTTATCGACATGGTGGCCGCCATCCCCTTCGATCTGCTCATCTTCGGCTCCGGCTCTGAGGAGGTGTGCGGGTGGGGATGCGTTCGGTGGGGATAAGGATGGGCTGGGGACAGAGCGGGGTTGGGGATGGCGTAGGGTTGAGCTGGGGACAGGGTTGGGTTGGACTGGTGTTGGGTTGGGTTGGGTTGAATTGGTGATGAGGTTTAGTTGAGTAGAGAATGGCGTTGGGTTGGGGATGGCGCTGGGAGCAGGGTTGGATTGGACTGATTTGGGGATGGGGTGGGATTGGGTTGGGTTGGGTTCATTGAGTTGGTGATGAGGTTGAGTTGAGTTGAGCTGGGGATGGGTTTGAGTTGGGGATGGAGTCGTGTTGGATTGAGTCAAGCTGGGGATGGGGTTGGGTTTTGTTGTCGATAGGGTTGGATTGGGTTGGGATGAGTTGAATTGGTGATGGTGTTAAGTACGGGATGGGGTTGAGTTGGGGATGGGATTGGGTGGGGTTGGTGATGGGATCAAGTTGAGTTGAGCTTGGAAGGGGTTTGATTTGGGGATAGAGTTGGGTTGGATTGAGTTGAGCTGGAAATGGAGTTGGGTTGGGGATGGGATTGGGTTGAGTTGGGGCGGGTTTGGAACAGGATTGGATTGGGCTGAATTGGGAATGGGATTAGGTGGAGTGAGTTTGGAACGGGGTTGAATTGGGGACAGGGTTGGGTTGAGCTGAGGTGGGGATGGGGTTGAGTTGAGGACCTGGATTGGGTTGCTTCGAGTTGAGTTGGGAATGGGACTGAGTTGAGTTGAGTTGGGAATGGGACTGAGTTGAGTTGAGTTGGGGACAAGGCTGGGTTGAGATGATTTTAGTTGATTTGGAGACAGGGTTGGATTGGGCTGAGTTGGATTTGGATTGGGATGGGGTCGGGTTGGGGACAGGGTTGTGTTCAGTTGGAGGCAAGATTGAATTGTGCTGAGTTTGGGATGGGATTGTGTTGAATTGAGCTGGAGATGGGATTAAGTTGGGGAAGGGTTTGAGCTGGGGACGGAGTTGGGGATGGGTTTGAGTTGGGTTGGGTTGAGTTGAGTTGGGGACAGAGTTGAGTTGGGGATGAGGTCGGGATGAATTGAGTTGGGGAGGGTGTTGAGTTGGGTTGAGTTGGGGTTGGGTTGGATTTGGGATGGGGTCAGGGTTCAGTTGGTTTGGACCGGGGACACTCAGACAGCCCAGATTCTCCGTGCCTGGAGAGCAGCTGGGATCAAGGGCTCTGGCCTCCCGTGGGGGTCCCCCAGCACTCGCTGCCCCCCACAGACCACCACACTGATCGGGCTGCTGAAGACGGCGCGGCTGCTCCGCCTGGTGCGGGTGGCCCGCAAATTAGACCGGTACTCTGAGTACGGGGCAGCCGTGCTCTTCCTGCTGATGTGCACCTTCGCGCTGATCGCACACTGGCTGGCCTGCATCTGGTACGCCATCGGCAACGTGGAGGGGCAGCGCATCGGCTGGCTGCACTCGCTGGGCGACCAAATCGGCAAGCCTCTGAACGACAGCAACCCCCTGTACGGCCCCACCATCAAGGACAAGTACGTCACGGCGCTCTACTTCACCTTCAGCAGCCTGACCAGCGTCGGCTTCGGCAACGTCTCGCCCAACACCAACTCAGAGAAGATCTTCTCCATCTGTGTCATGCTCATCGGCTGTGAGTGCAGGGGGGAATGCGCAGGGGGCAGAACACGCGTGTGTTTTCTTTCCTATGAGAGTGGTGAGGTGCTGGAACAGCTGCCCAGAGAGGCTGTGAATGCCCCGTCCTTCCCTGGAGGTGCTCAAGGCCAGGTTGGATGGGGCCCTGGGCAGCCTGGTTTGGTATTAGATATGGAGATTGGTGGCCCTGCCTGCGATGAGGGGGTTGGAACTTTCATGATCCTTGAGATCCCTTTCAACCCGAGCCATTCTATTCCGTGTGTGTGTGTGTGTGAGACTGTGCTGCGGATCCTGCGTCTGTCTGTCTGAGCATAGCTGTGAGCATGCACGACTGCTGCCCCCAACCCAATGCCGTTCCCAACTCACCGTGTGGGCATGTGGAGAGCCCACTGCGTGTGCACACGTGTGTATGTGGGTCCCCCTGCGGTGTGGGGTCTGTGGGGCACCCCTGTCCACCACCCTGTGCCCTCACTGCTCCTCACCCCACACAGCCCTGATGTACGCCAGCATCTTTGGGAACGTGTCGGCCATCATCCAGCGGCTGTACTCGGGCACGGCGCGCTACCACACACAGATGCTGCGCGTCCGCGAGTTCATCCGCTTCCACCAGATCCCAAACCCGCTGCGCCAGCGCCTGGAGGAGTATTTCCAGCACGCCTGGTCCTACACCAACGGCATCGACATGAACGCGGTGAGCACCGCCGGCCCCGCCGTGCCTGCTGCCACCCGAGCCACGTTGTGACACTGCGTCCCCCTCCCCGCAGGTGCTGAAGGGCTTCCCTGAGTGCCTGCAGGCTGACATCTGCCTGCACCTGAACCGCAGCCTGCTGCAGAACTGCAAGCCCTTCAAGGGAGCCACCAAGGGCTGCCTGCGCGCCCTGGCCATGAAGTTCAAGACGACGCACGCTCCGCCCGGGGACACGCTGGTGCACGCCGGCGATGTGCTGACGGCGCTCTACTTCATCTCACGTGGCTCCATCGAGATCCTGCGCGGGGATGTGGTGGTGGCCATCCTGGGTGAGCCCTGGGCCAGGGTGATGACGTGGCCGTGTGTCCCCGCTGTGGGCTGACCCCACACCCCAATCCCTCCTCAAGGGAAGAACGACATTTTTGGGGAGCCGCTGAACCTGTACGCACGGCCGGGGAAGTCCAACGCTGATGTGCGTGCGCTCACCTACTGCGACCTGCACAAGATCCACCGTGAGGACCTGCTGGAGGTGCTGGACATGTACCCCGAGTTCTCCGATCACTTCTGGTCCAGCCTGGAGATCACCTTCAACCTGCGCGATGTGAGGGAGGGGGCAGCTGGGGGGTGGAGGTGGGAGGGGGCACCGCGGGGGCATGGCTGGGATGTGGCACCACGATGCTGATGGGGACGTGGCACTGCCAGATGGTGCCATGCGCTCCCATCGCTGTGCCATGGCCCACTCCCCACACCCGTGGGGGTCTGTGGCACCACTCCCTCACCGTCCCCTCCTGCAGACCAACATGATCCCCGGTTCCCCGGGCAGCGATGAACTGGACAGCGGCTTCAACCGCCTGCGCAAACGCAAGCTCTCCTTCCGCCGCCGCACGGAGAAAGGTGAGGGGTCAGTGGGATGCGGGGGGCGTGGGGGTCCCAAGGGGTGCGTGACTCCTCTGTGTGTCCCCCCTCAGATGCGGAGGCCGCCGGGGAGCCGCGTGGTGGGCAGAAGGCGCTGCGGCTGAGCAGGGGCTGCCAGGCACCGGGAGCCCCGCGGGGGCCAGCAGAGTGGGAGCCATGCCACTGCAGCTCGCCCTCCAGCTCCCCATCCAGCGATGAGGATGAGCACCCAGCACCCACCCCGGGGGCTGCCGCTCTTTCGCCCTTCCGCAGCCCCCGGCCCGGCTGTGAAGCCCCCACAGCCACCGACGCTGAGGAGCGTGAGGGCAGCGATATGTGCAACCCCCTCTCAGGTGGGGATGGGGGGTGGGGGGCTTCCTGCTCTGCATGGGCAAAGCATCTCCCAAAGACCCATCTCCTGCCCTGCACCCTCATTTCGCCCACATGCTCCTGCATCCTTGCTTCTCCTGCATCACCGTTCCCCATGCTCCCACATTCCTGCTCCTGCATCCCTCATGGTGATTCTACATCCCCACTGGTTCTGCATCCCCACACTCCTGCATCTCCCCCGCCATACTCCTGCATCCCCGTGTCCCATGTTCCCGCGTTCCTCCTCCTCACCCATGTTCCTGCATCCCCCTGCCATGGTCCTACACCCCCAATACCTTCTACATCCAGATCCCCCATGCAGCTCCTGCATCCCCATACCTCCTCCTTTCTGTATCCCCACATCTCATGGTCCTGCATCCCCATTCCTTCTGCATCCCCATGCCCTCTATTCCTTCTGCATCCCCATTTCTCTCATCCCATGCTCCTGCATCCCCATTCCTCTCCCATCCCATCCCTTCCTCCCTCGACACCGCCCACACCACACCGATCCTTCCCTCCCCCTCTCCCCCAGGAGCCTTCTCGGGGGTCTCCAACATCTTCAGCTTCTGGGGGGAGAGCCGGGGGAGACAGTACCAGGAACTGCCCCGCTGCACCATCCCTGCACACGCAGCCCTCGGGATCCCAATGCCCTCCATGACCCGCCGGCAGCGCTCTGAGGTGGAGATGCGCCTTGACCTCCTCCAGAAGCAGCTCAATAGGTACCTTAGGGGGTGGTGAGGCCCCCGGCAGACCCCCCAATCGCCCCACCCGGGGGTCTGCCGGGGGTCTCACCACCCTATAAGCAGTGCCCTATAGCAGGGAGCCTCCTGCATGCCCCATCACTGTCTGCCTGCAGGTTGGAGACGCGGATGGCGGCGGACATCAGCTCCATCATGCAGCTGCTGCAGCGCCAGGCTGCTCTCGTGCCCCCTGCCTACAGCACGGTGTCATCCCCTCATCAGCCTCCTGGTCCCCCCCCGTGCCCGCTGCAGCCCATCCTCCCCATCACCCCCATCCAGCCGCTCTCTCAGGTGAGCACCCCCAAAGCGTGGGGCAATCCCACAAGTTTGGGGCAGCCCTTTTCCCTGTGCCCCCTTTTCCAGCTCTGTGGCGAGCCAGCACCATTGCAGAGACCCCAAGATTTGGGGTAGCCTCTCTCTTGTGTCCCATCTTTCAGCCGCACACTCTGCTGGAGTCGCTCCTGTGCCCCCCAGGTGTAGAGTAGCCCTGCTCCTGTGCCCCATGGTGAGCTAGGGCCAATGCCCTGCCCCTCAGGTTTGGGGCAGCCCTTCTCCTAGGCCCCGTTTCCCTTTCTTCTTTCCCCATGTTAAGCTGGGGTGACACCTGGCCTCCCAAATTTGGGGCAGCTTCTCTCTCCTGTCCCATTTTCCAGCCTCGCAGCAATCTGGGGACACAGCTGAGTAGTCAACACTGGAGGTTACCCTTTTTCTGAACCCCATCTTTCAGCTGTATGAAAAGCAGGGGGGCCACTGCTGAGCCCCCCAGGTTTGGGGCAGCCCCTGTCCCATGTCCTATTCCCTAATCCTAACCCTAACCTTCCCCACAGTGAGCTGGAGTGACTCCTGAACCCCCCAGGTTTGGGGTGACCCTTCTGCTATGCCCTGCAGCCTCATGGGAGCCAGGACCATTGCTGAGCCCCCCAGGTTTGGGGCAGCCCCTCTCTCATGCCCCATTTTCCAGCCCCATGGCTCTCTCCCATACCCCACAGAAGCGATGCGGGGTCCGACCGCACACCCATCCCGGTGCCCGCACCCCCCCACTCCGCTCTCTCCCGCAGGTTCCCAGCTTCCCAGTGCCCCCAGAGCTGCGCGGCGCTGGGGGTCCCCCGCCGCCCCCCGACGTGGTGCTGCTGCTGGAGCCGTCCCCACGCCGCCGCTCGCTGCCCGGCCCGCTGCCTCCCGCGCAGCCGCTGCACAGACATTGCTCCGATCCCGGCAGTTAGGGGGCAGCGCGGGACGGGGCCGGGACCCCCACTCACGGACGCGGGACCCCGTCCCCAGGACGCCGGGGTCACGGCTGCCGTCCCCACGGACATTGCGCCCACGTTAGCTGGCCTAACCCCGGGCCGGGCCGGTGGCAGCGGGTGTGGGCTGCTCTCGCCCTTTCTCCTCCTCTCCTCCTCCTCCTCCTTCTCCTCCCCATAGTGCTGCAGCGGGGGGACGGGGGAGCGGGGCGGTGTGCGTGTGTGCATTTCCGTGTGCGCATTTCCGTGTGCGCACACCTGTCCGACGCACACGCCTGTCCTCGTGCACAGATGTGTCTGATGCACACACGTCTTTGTGTGTGCCGTGCGTGTCCGCGTGCGTCTGCGAGCTGCGGCCCTCTGCCCCGTCTGCTTTGTGCACACGTGGGGCCGCGTGTCAGTGTGCTTGCCCCTACGGCCACGCCGCGTGTGTCCGGGTGTGCTCCTGGTGTGCAGGGTGCAAACACGCGTGTTCTCCGGGCGTGGGGTGGGCGCGTGTCCTTGTCTGTCTGCCGTGGGGCTGCCGTGGGGCAGCGCGTGGCTCTGGCGTCGTCCCCTCCCCGCGCTCTCTCCCCATGGCACAGGGGTTGGGGGAGGCCCCGCTGTGCCGCCGCACGCACAATGTGGTGGGGAGGGCTGGGGGGCATGGGCAGGGTCCCCCTGCAGCCCCCCAACGTGCGTGCTGTGTTCGTGCCGTTGTCCCGTAGGTCTCTGTGTGCCCCCCCCCCAGCCTTTTTACACCGCCCTGCATGTTGCCTTCTGCGGTAGGAGCCCCCGTCCCGCACCCCAATAAAGCGGACCGAGGACTGCTGTGTGTGTGCAGTGCACTCAGAGCTGGGGGGCACAGCTGGGGACCCCCGGGCTGGGGCAGCAGAGCACCGTGGGGGGATGTATGGGTGCACATGGCCCTGTAAGGACACAAAAGCCATACGACAACTGCCAATGTCGGCACCATGAAATATTGCAGCATCAGGGGCCCCGCGCATGCAGCCCCACAGATCAGAGGATGACACGGGAGGCACGACCTGAGCCCCCCCGTGGTGCTCACACGGGCCAGTAGGTGCCATTGTAGGAGAAGGGCTCTGGTGCCACACAAGGCCCAGCACTGTCAGGGGTCCAACGCTGCACCTCCAGGCGCGTGAAGTTGGGGTCCTGCGGGCGCACGATGACGGCACCGCGCGACGCCACCGATGGGTCCTCGTCAAAGAAGTTGAAGGGACGCAGGAAGAAGCCAACGCTGTTACCAGGGGTGGCCGTGTTGGGGATGTCCTCAGCGTGCGGGACGTGCAGGAATCCCACCGTCACCCAGGCCACCAGGTCCTGCACAGAGGGGTAGCGGCCATCAGCGCAGCACGTGGCACCAGGACCCCGGCAGCCCCCCCAGCAGCCCTCTCCCCTCATCACCTGGTCCTCGATGCTCTCATCGTTGCGGATGAAGCTCTCGAAGCTGACAGCGGGCTCCCAGGGGTTGTTCTGGTTGTAGAGGCTGCTGCTGGACGTCTCGCTCTCGCGGTGCCGCGTCACGGCCAGGTGGTACCTTCAGGGTGGGGGTTTGGGGACAGTGTCAGCCCTGGGGCAGCGCATGGGGCTCCGCACCCCCCGCCCCCCCGGCCCCACCTGCCCCACGCAACGCCCTTCTCCTCCTTCCAGCCGCGGGGCAGCACGCGCCCGGCGTGTGAGCGGAGCTGGATGCGGTAGCTGCGCGCGTGGCCCCAGCGGTTGCGCTGGCGCGGGTTGGAGAAGAGCAGATAGCGGGGCAGCGGGGCGCCCAGAGGGAGGGCGGCCTGGCGCTCCGTGCGGCGCGGCTGCCGGCGCAACCAGGGCTGCACCACGCGTGCGCCGGGGCTCCACGGGTTGGAGATGTTCTCGAAGCTGATGTCCATCGTCTCGAAGCTGTTGCCGGTGCCTGCGAGAGGAGAGGCTGTCAGCTGCCAACAGCGGCACCGGGGGTCCCCCAGTGCTGCGCAGCAGCCCCGTTCCCAGCGCCTGCAGCCGCACCTGCGACATCCAGATCCACCTTGTAGTGCACCAGGTGCGTGTGAATGTTGCCCAGCACATGGCTGTGCACACGGCTGCCGTAGCGGCGGCCCCGCGGCGTGTAGAAGGTGGCGTGGATGTAGCCGGTGGCATGCACCTTGGCCTCTAGCACGCCGTTGGGGTACAGCAGCACATCCCAGATGTAGTCGTAGTTGTAGACGGTGGAGGTGGTGCGCAGCACCAGCGCGTGCCCCTCCAGCCCCGCATAGAATTGGAACCCCCCACGGAAGTCGCTGTCGAAGTGCCGCCGCAGTGGGACGCCGGTGGGCAGCTCGAAGATGCAGAGCGCACGGCGGAAGCGCCGCGGCCCCTCGCTGTCATACAGGTGGTGCACGTCCAGGAAGGTGGACACCTCGGGGCAGTCGATGCCGGGCGCCAGCTCGTAGGTAACGGAGCCCATGCCCCAGCCGGCATCCAGATACTTGGTCTGCATGGCGGCCGGCGTGTCTCCGCCGTAGAAGGCAATGGCCTCCTGCACGCTCACCTCGTAGGCCACGCGCTCGCCGTTGAAGCGCACGTCGAAGAGCTGCAGGCCAGCAGAGGAGCGCAGGCGGAAGGCGAGGCTCCAGCCGCCGTACTCCAGCCGGTTGCCACGCAGGCGGTAGCGCCGGCCCTGCGGCTCGCACACTTTGGCTCCGTGCACCTCGGTGGTGGTGCCGGTGGTGAAACGGCCGCGTGGGATGTACGTGGAGAAGAGGTGGGGGGCTGCGGGGTTGGGCAGCTGTGCCACCACCACCGTGCCGCGCTCGTAGCGCTCGGCCAGCTCCTGCGGGCTGGAGAAGTACTGCCCGTTGTACCAGACGCTCTGCACCGCCCAGCGGCGCGGGTCGGGGTCGCGGTGGTCCAGCAGCAGCTCCAGCCCCACGGGGTGCAGGAAATAGCCCTCGACGAAGCGCTGCAGGATGAACCACGTGCGGCGCTCACCGGGCGCCAGCCCACGGGGTGCGATGTCGGAGAAAGTGAGGCAGCGTTGGGTGCAGTTGTGGTACCAGAAGCCGGAGGTGTCTCGCAGCAGGCGGTACAGCGGCTCGGTGGCCGCCACCAGCGCGCGGTGCAGCAGCTCGTACTCCCGCATCGTCATGGGCCGTGCGGCGAAGGGCGCGGTGCGGCCGCCCTTGAGGCGCAGCGGGCGGTAGGAGCGGGGCCGTGGAAGGGGCCCGACGGCAAACTCGGTGACGTTGGGCTCTGCCTGCGCCCCGAAGAAGATGACGGCTCGTGCCTGGCGCCGGGGCGCAGGGCCGCCACCATCCAGGTGCCATAGAGCCGCCCGCTTGGTGGGGGGCAGCAGCTCCACCAGGAATAGTGTGTTCTGAGCCAGCGTGTCCCCGCTTTGTGCCGACAGCCCCAACTCCGGGCGGCCCCGCAGGAAATCCCGCACCGCGTGCAGCTCCGCCGGCGTCAGGTCGGCAAAGATGGAGGCTTTGTCCGGCGGTGCGGCCGTGCGGTCGGCGTTGGCCACCACCAGGCACAGTGTGGCCAGCGCCCAGGTGAGGCGGAGCAGATGCATCATCCCGGGCACCTGAGGACACAGCCTGGGCATGGGGTGTGATGGGAGCACGGTGCCAGTGCCAACCCCACATCACGCACCGCTTGGCCTCAAGGTGCTCCACCTCCTCTGGGACCCCCACCCAGCACCGCCCTGCAGAGCTGGGATTCCTCTCCCCCAGCCCAAAGCTGGCCCTACACTGTGCTCTGTGTGGCAAACGTCCCACCCTGCAGGGCTGGTGTTGTGCCAGCTGCACCACCCTCCAGCCCACTGCACAAGGGTGGCCATGCTCCTGCAGTCTGTGGGGTGTGAGGGTCCCAGGGGTCTGGTGCTTGTGCTCACAGAGCAGTGGCAGAGCAGCGACGTGCCCAACACACAGCAGTGGTTTGCACAGAGCAGTGATATCCGTGGGGATGGGGCAGCCGAAAGCAGCAGCAGGAGCAGCAGCAGGGCTGGGGGGGGGGGAGAAGGGGTCACAATGTGCACAACTGCCCAGGGGGGATGCCCAAGAAAAGGGTGTCAAGGCTGCAGCTCTGTGGGACAGGGGCTATCTTGTGGGGTCCTCATTGCCCCAAAATGTGCAGACAGAAGGCTGCAATGTTGACATGGGGCAGCCCCACAAGCTGAGCCCCCCAACCCACTGCTCACCCCCCCGGCACCCAAAGGCAGCCCCTCTGAGCTCCCCTCACTCACCTCGCGTGGGTACCGCTCTGCCCCGTTCCCAGCCCAGTCCCGCCCTCGCCGCCCCCCCGGGCTCCTCCACCCCCCCCGGGTCAAGGCTGGAGCGGGGTTGCAGAGTTCAGCAGCAGCGGTGCCAATGGGGAGGGGCACAACACCCACCCACCCCTCCCCGCCAGGAGCTGCACTCTTTATGGCCTTTCCGTGATCAAACTCCAGGTTCAGGAGAGATAACAGTGGGGACAGGCACAGGACTGTCCCACTCATGCCCGTGGCTTTGTCCTGGTCACGCTGCATGGGGAGGGGGTGGGGGGTGCTGGAGGTGCTGTCCTGACTCCCCCACCCCCTCCCCATGCCTCCAAAATCAAAGGGTGCACATTGGATGCACCCACCCCCAGAAATCACGCCTCTATTTTATTCTCTCACGATGCTGCACAGAGCGCAGGGGGCCATGGTGTGGATCCCCACCTTGAGGATGGAGACTCCCAAAGTACTGGGCCCCCCTCACACACAGACCCATGAGGCTGAGATCCCTGTCCCTTTGCAGCTCCATCTCCTTCATGGAGTCCAGATCCCCTGTGGGACCAGGATCCCCACCCCAGTGGGACCAGGATGTCCCGAGGGGCTCAGGTCCCCCACCCATGGGACCAGCCCCCCTTTCAGTGGCACACAGTGGAGACGAGGCTGTGGGGCTGCAGCTCAGATAGGCTCAATCCTGGGGTGTGATGGGGGTCAGGAAGAGAGACCCCCACCCAGCAGCCCTGTTGCAGGGGTCCCATGCACTGCACATGTCTCCAGTGAGCTCCTCATCCCTATGGGCATGGACCCCAATGAGCTCATGTCCCCAGGCTCCACCGGTCCTGATGTACCCATGGGTACAAACCCCACTGAGCCCCATGGCCCCCTTCATCTCCATGTTTCTGAGGGCACAGGCACCATGGAGCCCCACATCCCTATGTCCCCAGACCCCATGTCTTGGTGTTCCCATAGACCCCACCGAACCCTGTGACACCGGATTACTTTTCAGGAGATTTTGTCCCTTTTATACATCCCAGGGGCTGGGAGCTAGGAAAAGCCCTAAAACCATAACAGCCATCCCGTGGCTACACCCATCCCCACGGCTACACCCCTCACCGCTTGTCAACACCCATCCTCATGACAACATCCACTGCCACGGCAACACCAATACCTGTCTCCACCCATCCCCATGGCTGCTCCCATCACCTGGCTGCTCCTGGCCCCATCCCCACGGCACATCACCACAGTGATGCCTCCGTGGCACCTGGTGGCACTGTTCCCTCCAGTCTCACCTCCCACACCACAAGGCCTGGCCGATGCCCTCCCCCATCATAGCAGAGCCCTGCAGAGTGGTGCTGGTGGGCTCTGCGGCTGTCGGGGGCTGCACCTCCATGGCTGGTGGTCAGAGCAGCTGCCGGAGTCACAGCAGTGCAGCTGGGAGGGGGGCAGGGTCTGGAAATGGGACGTGGAGATGGGATGTGGAGTTGGGACATAGAGAAGGAATTTTGAGATGGGACACAGAGATAGGACCTGGAAATGGGACAAGGAGCTGCGACGTGGCACTGGGAGCTGGGCACCAGGGACTGAGAGTGGAGCCAGGGACCTTGGAGGTCTATAGTGCCAGTCAGGAAAAGGTCCCAATGTTGGGAGCCCCAGAGGAGGAGGACGTGGTGCCAGGAAGTGCTGACCAGAGTTGTGCTAAGAAAGCACTCTGTCCATGGTTTAACACCTAAGGAGCAGAGACAACAGCTGTGATCCCACTGCACCACAGCAGCACTGCCAGCACAGCTCCTGCAGTGCCCACAGCCGCACTGTGAGCTCGGACGCGCCAAGGATTTGTTCCAACTTCTCTGTTTCTATAAAACCTCCCATTTCTATAAATGGACACCACGCGAGGACGCCTGGAACGAAAGGAGCCTTTCAGCAAAAACTTCCCGGCATGCATTGATTGATCCCACAGCAGGAGAACTTATTGGCCATGTGCAGCACACAGCAGTGGCCCAACGCTGCGGGGAGCGGAGAGCGGTGCTCCTCAAACTGTGTGCTGTGCTGCTGGGAAAGCAGCTTTGGGATGCAATGAGCCCAGGGCCTGGCAGCCTCCTCCATGGGGCACAGTGGGCACAGGCGTTGTCACCATGCTGGTGCTGCTGTGCTCTGCAGATGTGTCCCTGAGCATCAGCACGCAGGAGCTGTTCTAAACGTCCTGCCCAGAAAAGAGGAGAGGATCCATCATCACCCCTGGAGGAGGAAGAGGAGGGGGAGGAGGAAGAGTAGGAGGGGAGCGCACTGTCTCCTGCCCACAAATACTGCTGGGCCCCACTCAGCATTGCAGGGATGCCCTCCCTCTGATCACCCTGCCTCTGATCATCTGCCGTGGGTTTTGCCATCTCCAGTGCCCTCCTCTCCATCATGGAACCATAGAATGGCCTGGGTTGAAAAAGGCCATAATGCCCGTCTAGTTTCAACCCCCTGCTATGAGCATGGTCACCAAACACCACACCAGCTTGCCTTCTAGGGTCAGGTCCTTCAGTAACAAGAAGTGCTGATGCCATGAGCTCCCCATTCTGCAGCCACCACTCCGCTTCTTGAGAAACCGTGCGCTGCCGCATTAATTCACGAAGGAGCCCACTTCTGGCTTATGACATAAAAACACGATGTTTGCTGCCATCTCCCTCCAATCAGAGCTTCCTGGGTGCCCTCCCAGTGATGCGCCGGGGCCGTTCCAAAGGTCACCGTGTGACGCAGCAAAGTTCAGCCACGGCTGTTTTCTGACTGATGGCAGCAGTGCTGAGCCCCGCTGCACGCACCGGAGCGTGCCGGGAACTCCGTGCCAGCAGCAGAACCTGCGTGCAGAGGGGGTGATGGATCAGCCAGAGCTTCAGCAATAACCGCTCTGGGCTGGAAGGGGCTGGGCATGGGTCAGGGCTGAGGGCTGTGGAGGAAAGAATGGACCAGAGATGAGAGCAGGAAACTCCCTATGCAGAGTGGGCCACCTCCCCCAGCGAACACCGTGCACCCATCTGGTTGACCACAAGCTCTGCTCTGCTCTGTGCAGGTTGGATGCAGGTCTCCTCAACCCCATCCCCTCCATGCACCGGGTGATCCTCCAGCTCAGAGGGTCTGGCCCAGCATTGTGCTGTGCTCCTCCACGCATCCTTTGGGGCTGCCCACTCCGCAAGGCGCTTGCTGTGGTTCGGTTCTCTTCCTCCTGCTCTGTGGTTCCCAATTGCTCCGGCTGTGCTCTCACACCAGATGTGTTTTTTCCTCCCATTTCATAACTGGAGTCATTGAGATAATAGCAAAGCAGATAACAGCCCATGAGCTCTCTTGTCTCCTACGCCAGCTGTTCTGTTCTTTCCAGAGAAAATCTTCCATCACTCAGCTCTTTTATGAGCTGCTGCCTCCCCAGCCCAGCACAGCGTTTCACCGGAGGGATGCTTCCTCGTAAGTCAGAGAAGGCCTCCAGAACTCCTCTATGCTGCCTGAGCGCTCTGCTCTTCCCCCATCCCAAGCAGCAGAACAGCCCCACGATGTCCCTTCGACCTTTCCATCAGTCTGTCCATCCATCCATCCATCCCATCAGGGTGCAGGATTCTGGTGCTCCAACATCTCCCCAAGGTGCCCTTTGTTCCGGCCTGATGAAGCCCCATCCTTGGGGGAAATCTAATTACACAAAGGTTAATTGCTGTCTCTGCACTGCGGGACTCAGGGAAGCGCGACCTGCGTCCCAAAGTCCCCAGTGCACATTTCTGACTCAGCGGAGCAGCTCTGCATTCAGCCACGCTGCCCTGTGGCTGTGACATCCCCCCTCTCCTTCTCCTCTCTGACACTGTGAGTTCAGCGCGAGGATCCTGCTCCTGTGGATGGGGTGTCCACGTCTGTGAGGGTCAGGGAATGGGGGCTGTGGGGTGAAGGGTCTCACCAACCTCAGCGACGGCACAACAGTGCGAGCAGGGCCCGGTTCGGCCCTATTAATTCTGGGAGGTGGGGAGGGCTTGGTGGAATTCCATAGACAGGGAGATCTTGGTGCTCCTGGGGCTGTGGCTGCAGAAGGAGCAGTGTTGGTGCCTGCAGCACGCCAGGGTGCGGAGCCGCAGTGCGGGGCACGTGGCAGCCAACCCCCCCACTGCAGCACTGCCACAGCACAGACCCAGAAATGTGTCCCCGTAACGGTGCTGAGAAAAGGATGATGGACACTCTTGGCTGTGCTCAATTCGCTCAGCCCTTCCAGCCTCGGCCACACCACAGAGATATAATTGGGGATTGTCCTCCCGCCTCCTGTATTCATTTGGAGCAGCAAAGAAAGAAGAAAGCAATTTTTTTTTTTTTTTTTTTGCGTTTTTCACACTTTTTAGTGGTGTCACAAAGCCCAAAGGAGTGCTGAGGCCAGAGGGAGCATCCCGTGCTCCCCAGGCAGCACCCGAAGCACCGCGCGGTGCCGCAGCCACCACCACGTGTGAGCTGTGCACGTTGGGGCCAGCAGCACAGCGCAAGTAGGGCAGCCCAAAAAAGCCCCAAAAAATCCCAGAAAAGGACTTCATCCTCTGCTTAATCAGCAGCACGCACTGCTGTGCTACAGGGGAGGCCTCAGAGGACCCACAGCCGCTCACAGCGCAGTGAGCCGCCCAAAGCTCCGCTGCTCCATTTCCAACACCGCTGGGATGCAGCACAGCCTGCCCTGCTTGCCAGCAACGCAGGAATGCAAAGCCCCAGATCTGCCCCCCAGGAAGGCCGTGTGTCACAGCCCGCAGGCAACGCCGACGGTGCCGGCAGGAAGCGGCTTTGCAGGAGGAGCTGCAGCACATCTGCCGGCCGTCAAGAAAATCACTTTCCCTGGAAAGCGAAGCGCGGGGGCCGCCGGCACGCAAGTAGGGCAGCAGATGGGCCTGAGAAGAGGGGGGGCCCAAAGCCACCCCTGACACCATTGAAGGGTTTGCTGCTCCCCACGGCTGGGCCTCGGCTCGCGGGGGCAGGGACATGGGGACAGTGGTGACGTTGGGGCTGAGCTGGTGGTGGGACCGCAGGACTTCACCTGAGGGATGCCGGGGTGCGAGGGGCTGCTCCTGCCTGGCTGCAATGTGCATCCAGTGGGACAGCATTCAGGATGCTCACTGTGAGTGAAATAAAGGGGAAGATCAGAGGGATTGCAGCATCTCTGCTGCTGCTGTGCCGGCACTCTCCAGACATGGACTGTGCCCCTGGCTGGCACTCAGTGCGCTGCAACCTGGGGTGCAGGTCTGCTTCCCACCACGCACAAACATCTCAGTACCGGGCTGCATGCATGGCTCCTGCCCCACAGCATCACCTTCCCCTGGCCGTGAGCCCACAGCATGGCTTAGTGAGAGCTGTGATCCTGCCTGGAGCTCCAGCTGCTGGCGGTGCTGCTGGGCACCGTGCGGCACAGCGTGGCACAGTGCCATATGGAACTGCATGGCACAGCATGGCATGGCATAGAACTGCATGAAACAACACTGCATGGCACAGCACTGCGTGGCACAGCCTGGCACTGCACTGCGCTGTGTGGCACACTGCAGTGCCCACGTGCTGCCACCAGGCGGGCACAGCCAGGCAGGAGTTTCCCCGCAGAAGTTTGGGATGGAGCACCGGTGCTCCACCAAATTCCCCCCAAATTCCCATTCTCTTTGGCAACAAAAGTCAAAGAAGAGCCCCCCCCCGTGCCATGCTGCAGGCTGCAGAGAGCAGCACTTGGCTCCCACACTGGGAAAATCCTTTCCCCCCCCCCTTCACACCGCCTGCGCGTGATTCCTCGGCGCGGGGGTGTCAGCAGTGCTCCCATCTGCTGTGCTGTGAGTGCTCATCCCTGCGCGGGGATTTCACCGCGTACCACATTGCGTAACCACAAACGGGGACCACATCCCCCACCTTCCTCCCAAACCATGGTCCTCCCCATGGGACACCCCTTTGGTTGGGCTGTCAGCCCTCCTGCACACAACCATCCTTGGCTCTGCGCAGTGCTGCTCAGTGCTCACCAAAACATCGATGCGCTCTCACTGGCAGCTCCAGCCCAAACCCAAACAGCCACATGGGCCTCTCCCACCAAAATCAGGGCACAGCGTGCAGTCCCCATCCCAACTCCCCCCCGAGCACCTCCTGGTGCTGCGGCTTATCTCCCTCCACCCTCAGAGCTGTGATCTGCGGCATGGGTTTAACTCAGCACCTGCAGCACCAGGATGCAACTCGCTGCGTTATCTCCGTCTGCCATGCGCGCTGTTGGACGCAGGAGCTCTGCAGGTGTGTGGGACCTCACGGCTTGGAAACATGAAATCTGCAGCACCCATTCATCTCCCCGCATCTGCAGCCTGCCTGCGCCTCCCATCACTACCCCAACGCATTCTTACCTCAACACACTCCTGCCCCAATGCGCCGCTGACCCAAGGCATTCCTTCCCCAAAGCATCCCTGACCCAAAGCATCCCTGTCCCAGTGCATTCCTACCCCAATCCATTCCCGCCCCAGTGTTTTCCTGCCCCAATCCATCCCTGCCCCAATGCGTTCTTACCTCAACACACTCCTGCCCCAATGCATTTCTGCTCCCTGCCCATGTCGTGCTGTCACCCCATTGCACCTCAGGAGCACCTCAGGAACACCTCAGGAGCACCTGCCCATCACCCCCCTCATTGCCCCTGTAACTGTGCACCCCAATAACCCGGCTACCTCAATAATGAGGCACATAAACAGCCTGGCATATACCAACAGCCCAGCATCCCAATAACTAAGCAGCCCATTAGCTGGGTTCCCCAATAAACCAGCTTCCCAATAACATGGACACTCCAATTACCTGGGGGCCTCAAGAACCAAGCACCCCAATGATCTGGAATTACATCAATGGGGTACCCCAGTAACCAGGTACAGGCCATATATAAACCGAGAACCCAACAGCACCTCAGGAGGTGGTGCACCACAACAACCTGGCACCCAGTAACTTTGCACCCCAATAACTGGGCACCACAATAGCCTCTGATCCCAATGACTGGGCACCCCAATAACTGGGCACCCCAATAGCCTCTGATCCCAATAACTGGGCACCCCAGCAACTGGGCACCCCAACAATGGCACGATGATATCCTTGCCAACCAATAACCTGAGATTCCAACAACTCGGATACCCCAATACATTTGCACCCCCAAAAATCAGACACCCCGTGGGGCTGCGTGCCTCAGTTTCCCCATTTGCTGCCCCTCACCCGGCACACAGCGCCCGGCGGTTCGGTTCCCCCGGCACTGTTGGGGGGAACCGCCTGATCTCTGCAGCCATTGCGCACAGACGGCAGATCCGAGCGCTGCCACCGCCCGCGATGCTCCGCTCCGCTCCGCCCCGTCCCGCCCCCCCCGTCCCCTTCCGGGCCCCCCCCGGCTGTGGCTCCGCCGTCATCGTGCCGGTACCGCCCCCCCCCCCCCCCTCTCCCCAGCGCCGGCAGCGATGCAGCGGGTGAGACCCCAAACACGCGCCCCATCGCGATACCCGCGCCCCCTCCCAGTACCCACACCGCATCCCAGTACCCATACCTCATCCCGATACCGACACCCCATCCCGGTACCCAGACCGCATTCCAATATTTACACCCCCACTCCGGAACCCGTTCCCCACCCCGATGCCCACACCCCATCCTGATACCGACATCCCGATACCCGCTCCCCATCCTGGTACCCAAACCCTCATCTCGATACCCACACCCCAGCCCGGCACCCACACCTTAACCCCATACCCGTACCCCATCCCAATACCTGTGCCCTATCCTGATAACCACATCCCATCCCAGTACCCGCACCCCATCCAGATATCCTCCCCCCCGTCCTGATACCCTCACACCACCCCGATACCCACACCCCATCCCAGTACCCATGACCCATCCTGATACCCACACCCTATCCTGATGCCTGCACCCCATCCTAATACCCACATCCCATCCTAATACCCACATCCCATCCCAATACCCACACCCCCATCCCGGTACCCCCACCCCATCCCAGCACCCACAGCTCCACACACCCCGGGTCACTGGGAGGGCTCTGGGCACAGTGGGGTCCCGGTGCCAGCTGTGCCCTCAGCCCCCCCAATTCCCCGAAGGCTGCAGTGGCATTTGAAGACGTGGCCCTGTATTTCTCTGCTGAGGAGTGGGCGCTGCTGGCGCGGTGGCAGCGGGAGCTGTACCAGGAGGTGATGATGGATAACTACGACCTGGTGGCATGTCTGGGTAAGGAGCAGTGCTGCGCAGCCCCCCCAGTGCCCCCGGCCCCAGGTGTGCCCCTGCTACCACTGCATCCCAGTTTGCTGCCATGACTGGGGGTGGCACAGCAGCATCCTGCACGTGGCAGTCCCGTGGCAGTCCCAGCAGTCCCCAGCAGTCCCCAGCTGGCATCTCATAGCACCTCGGTGATGGTTACACCCCCAGGGCACAACCCCAGGGTCTCAGTGACATCTCTGAGGGCAGCTCTGGGGTCTGGGTGATGGTGATGCTCCTGTAGGTGTCTCTGGGGGATGCTGAGGACTCTCACTTCCCCAGACTCCCTTGACATCAAACCCCCCAACGTCCATGGAACGGATCCTGGGGAGACATCAAATAGAGGGGACAGAGGGCCACTGGACCCCGCAGGCAGCGGTGAGTGCAATGGGGCAGAGCTGGGGGCAACGGGATGGGGACTGCAGGGGGGTGTTGGGCACATAACGGATGTGAGCCCTGTGCTGTGCCATGAGCCATGCCATGAGCTGTGCCATGAGCTGTCCCACAGCTGTGTGCAAGAGGGGGTCCTACAGGAGCCCTCCTGCTGTGTGCCCGCCTGTGGCATCCCACGGGGACGTGGCCCTGACCCAGCGTCTCCACTCCCTGCAGCCCCCTGGGATGAGGACACACTGGGTGATGCCATCCAGGCACACCGTGCACCGCCGGAGCCAAGATGCCCCCTGCTGCACCCCGAATGGGGTGAGCGGGAGCCAGCAGGGGCTGTGGGGCCGCGGATCTGCAGGGTGTGTGGGCAGAGCTTCGAGGACGCGGCGGCGCTGAGCACACACCGGGCAGAGCACGGGGACCCGACGCCCAGCCACGAGTGCGTGGCATGCGGCAAAGCGTTCCGGCACCGCCGCAACCTCCTGGCACACAAGAAGCAGCGGGGCCAGCAGCGGCACTCCTGCGGCGAATGCGGCCGCAGCTTCTGCCTGAAGGGCGACCTGCTGCGGCACCGGCACCGGCGCGACCCGCAGGAGCACGGCGAAGGACAGCCGGCACCGCGGCAGTGCCCAGAGTGCGGGCTGCCCTTCGAGGATGAGCTCAGCCTGAGCCGGCACCGCGCGCAGCACGGCGAGGAGCGGCCCTTTGCCTGCGGGCGCTGCGAGCGCCGCTTCTCCTGGAAGGAGAGCCTGCAGCTGCACCTGCGCAGCCACGCGCCGGAGCGCCGCCACAAATGCCAGCAGTGCGGCCGGGCGTTCAGCCGCAGCAGCAACCTGCTGCTGCACCAACGCGTGCACACGGGTGAGCGGCCCTACGCCTGCGCGCAGTGCGACAAGACCTTCAGCAACAAGGCCAGCCTCACCACGCACCGCCGGCTGCACCGCCGCTGCAGGACCTTCGTCTGCGCGCTGTGCCGCCTCGGCTTCGGCTCCAAGAGCAAACTGCGACTGCATCTGCGTGGCCACGGCGACGGCGGCGGCCTTGGGGTGGGGAGTGGGCAGCCCTGACCCCAAAGGGCCTCATGGGATGCCCCAAAGGACCCCACGACACCCACTGGAGGACCTTATGTGGTGCCCCAAAGGACTCTGTAGCATCCCACAAAGGAGGTTGTGGGATCCCCCAGAGAATCTCATGGGATCCCCCAAAGGACATTTAGAGTTCTCTTGAAGGACCCTATTGGATCCCCCAAAGGACGCTGTGGGATCCCCCAGAGAATCTCATGGGATCCCCCAAAGGACCCCCAGAGGACCCTATTAGATCCTCCAAAGGACCCAGTGAGACTCCTTGAAGGACCCTATGGGATCCCCCTAAGGACTCCATAGGACATTTGCAGCTCTTCTGAAGGACCCCATTAGATCCTCCAGAGGACCCCATGAGACTTCTTGAATGACCTTATGGGATCCCCCAAAGGACCCCAGGAGACCCCCTGAAGGAGCTTATGAGGTGCCCCAAAGGACTCTGTGGGATCCCCCAGAGGACATTTGGAGTTTCCCTGAAGGACCCTATGGGATCCCCCAAAGGACTCTGTAGGACATTTGGAATTCTCCAGGAGGACTCTGATTTGGATCCTCCAAAGGACATTGTGGGATCCCATAAAGAATCCTATGGGATCCCCTGTAGAACCCCATGGGGCCACCCTAAGGACACAGTGGGACCCCAAAGGACCCTCTGCAGCAGTGCCCACCCCACTTGCCCCCACGGCCCTTTTTCTGTCCAAACCCCATGGCCTTGGGGCACCCCTGGTGCGCAGTGCTGTGTGCCATGGGGTGAAGGCAGATGTTGGTGGGCTCCTGCCCCACACCTGTGCCCTCGGCCCACTCCATCCTCTCACCCCCCCCCAGTATGGAGATCTGCTGAAGCCCCTCCGTTTTTGGGGCCATTCTGTGGCTCAGGATGACCCCTTTGGAGATGTGCAAAGCCGGCTGCGGTGCCCATGGGGTCTCAGCTTGGAGAACCCTACAGAGACAGGGATGGGGCATCCCTTCCCTGGGTCCCCTCCTCGTGCCCGGTGCCCCCTCGTGCCCTATATCCGTCTTTGCTCCGTGCTCCCCAGTATCTCCTGTCCTCCCCGCGCCCTGCGGTGTCCCCGCATCCCGCACCGGGCGCTGCGGGCGGGGCGCTGCGGGCAGACTACAGCTCCCGGCACGCACCGGGCAGCCTTTGTCTGCGCTCCCGCACCTCCCGCACCCCGCGGCCGTCGGCGGTGCCCCGCGGCAGCCCCCCGAGCGGCGCCGGTGAGAGCTGGGGGGGGGTCGGGAGCGAGGGAGGGGGGTCACAGCGCGGGGGGGGCGCAGCGGAGGAGGGGGAGGGGACGAGGCGGGGGAGAGCGGTGCGGTGCGGGGGGTGCGGGGACGGTGTGCAGCTGTCACTCTCCCCAGAAATGGGACCCCCGACCCTAAAGCGCGGACCCAAATAAAAGTGCCGCTCCCCCCTCCCTCCTTCCCGTGTGAGTTCTGGGTGTGCCCCAAGGGGTGTGGGCAGCAGCGCAGAATTGAACAAATCATGGTTGGGTTGGAAGAGACCCCACAGCCCCACCCCTGCCGTGGACTGAGTGCCCCCACCCCCTCAAACTGCCCAGGGTCCCCCCACGAAGGCTGGGGCTGCACTATGTCCCCCATGCCAGGGGATGGGATGGGGATGGGGATGGGA